GTTGTGTGCCGTGTCACTGCAACTCATAGAGACCCACTATGTACAATAGCTCTGAACCCAGTCCTGTCCTGAGTCAAACTGACTCAGACACACTCTCCCTCACTATCCTGGTTACTGTGTCAATCCATCTCATCCAGGGTCTTCCTCTCCTGTGCTGTCCCTCCACCCTTCCAAGCATGATGTCCTTCTCCAAAGAGTGGTCTCTCCTGGCCATATGCCCAAAGTATGTACCTTTCCTTAATTTTGGGCTGTTTTCTGATGATTCTCCAGCCTCCTTCAATTCTGAGTTTTCCAATGCCAGGATGGGTTTCAGTATTTGCAGTAAAAACAAAACAAAATCCCGATTAGTGCAAGGCCCACTTGAGTTAAAACTCATTTCAGATGCCTTGACTCTCTGTTCTCTTTAGCTGGCTCTTTCGTGGTTCTAATTATCAGAGGATCACGGACTGAGAGGCAGAGTAGATGCCCAGAGCATCAACTCCAAGTTACCACCAGTGCCAAGGTCCCTTCATAACAGTCTGTGGGCATCCCCTAACCTCTGCCCAAACAACTCACTTCTTTACAAATTGATTTCTCCTATCAGGAAGTTCTGAGTAAACTCTACTACCCATGGAACCAAGTTCACCTCCATCGGGTGGGGTGTGTGTGTGGAGGGTGGAGAAAGTCTTCTTTGCAATATATTTAATTTTAAAAGTAAAGGTACTAAAAAAAAGTAAAATGACTGCTTTTAGATATCTTAAATGTGATATGATGTGGAACATCTCAGTGAAAGGGAGCTTACAGCGAGATGGGGGCAGAGATTTGTGAATTAATAACCGAAGTAAACACAGAAGTTACTCAAATAAAGTAACCTCTGGAAATAAAGTGATGCAGAACATTTCCTAGAAGAATGCAAACACACTAGCACTGCAGGGTGCCTACAACACTGAGTCAGCGATGGCGTGAGAGTAAGGAATAGGGTGAGGGTGAAAAATGGAGTGAGGGTGAGATAAGCTGAGGGTGAGGAGTGGGGAGAAAAAGCTAGGGATGAAATAAGGATCAAGTATTTCCTGTATATTCTCTGGGAACTGACTTGCTCATTTTGAAAGACTTTAAAAATTTTATTATAGTAGAATACATATAATATAGTAAAACATTTGCCATTTTAATGTTTACAATTTAGTGACATTAATTACATTCATTATATTGTGCAACCATCACCACTGCTTCCAAATTCTTTATTACCCTTATTGCAAACTCAATGCCGCTTAAGCAATGTGTCCCCAGTTGCCCCTCTTCCCACTCCCCCATGGTGACAACTAGTAAAATTTTGTCTCTGTAATTGCCTCTTCTAGATATTTCATCTAAATGGGAATACTGATGGAATTATACTTCAATGATTACATCGAAGGGGCAACTCTCCATCAGAAACCACTGCAGGAATGAGAGGAGGAGATCAGAAAGGCATGGCTGACTAGGCTAACGGTCAAGAATTTGAAGAAGGGTGTTTAGCAGAGCCAAGAGTTTCCAAAAAGTTAAGGAAAATGCGGATGAGGAAAGCCTATTTGGTCTACTAAAGTTGGGACTTGGAGAATCAGAGTGCAGTGATGGAAGCATAGGAGTGCTAAGGAAGCGGGCAGATGAGGCAGCCCCAGGAGTGCAACATATGGTCCACATGGCTGAGAATACAGAGGACACACAATAGCTGGACAATTGAAGATAAGGAGAAGGCAGGCTAGGAGCAGCAGACTAAGGTGTGGGGGGAGCCGTTTATATGGGAGGAGACCTCAGTAATCATTTGAGGAACAGGTGGCTGGGGTGACTTAAAGGATGAGTATGAACAGAGGCTACTTTGAGGTAGATTGGGGATGAGAGAAAGCACACAGAGCAAGCAGAATCTTCCTGTCACTTTTAAGTTAATCTGAGAGACTTTCAGGACATCCAAACGTTGAATTAAATATCCCTGACTGACACAAAGGCCTCTCCTTGGAAACCTGCTGACTCCCAACATTTTAAAGCCAAGACAAAGAATTCTATAAAGAGGCAGAATGAATGGAGGCTAACACTTTAGCACTTAGGAGGCTTGGGCTCTACTCTCCTTCTGCTGGGCTTGAGAAGATAGTGTGATGGACCTCATTAGGCCTAATGCAATTTGAATTTCAGTAGTTTGGGGAACTTAACAGAGATGGTAGTTATTTTGGGCAGCAGAGTCCCTGCTGGTCATAAACAAAAATAATTTAGATTGTGTGTGGAGGGCCAGAATAATTTCCACTGGATCTTGGAATGCATGGTACACTCTCAACTGCAAGGAAGTAAGCTATGATCTGAAAATTTACTTTACACTAAAGCAAGCAATTTTGTCAGGAAGATTCCTTGCCAGATCCTTTGTAAACACTTCTGACTCCCTCTACTGTTGGCTGACCAGGAATTTAGCCACTAAAAAGTTTACCTAGGACATAATTTAAAGGAGTAGAAATAGATAAAAAGTTGTATTAAATTTCAGGTCTTAATTTGGGTTTTTAAGACTAGATATTATGCTATATATATATTAATATGCATTTCTTTGTGGTTTTCTGTTACTTGAGTTGGTGCAAGGGACAAAGTACAGCTTGGCTTAAGACTGGATAAAAACCAGATAATAGTAGAGGAGGGCATGTGATCTAGTTTAGATATGAGGATCTCTAGAACCCGGTTATCATGCTGAATTTTGTTTCTCCTTTATAAGGATCTAGACATATGGGGGGAAAAGTGAATTTTACCTTTAAAAACCGCTAAGACTAATCTGAAGACCACATAAAATAACCTACCTCCCCCTAAGAGAACTGAGAGCTAATTAAATTTTTCCCTTTTCCCCCCTGTCCTTACTCTCTATTTATTACATCATTCCTCTAGGAGCCATTAAAATATTTTTGTTTTAAAGGCTTTTTCTGGAACTCTGTTTTGCAAAACACACAGGACATTCTAAGATTCTGATAAGAACAAGATTAGAACAGTTTGCATCTCACTTGAGAAGAGGCTAGAGCCACAGAAGAGGTGGAGGCAAGCAGACATAACTGAAAGAATAAGACACATGGGATTGGGGACAGCATGAGTCAACATCTCAATTCTTGGCCCCACCTGAAGGAGGACGTTGTTGTTGTTAGATGCTATCAAGTCGGCTCTTAGAGTGGGACAACCTACAACAGAACCGACTTTGCCTCACTCTGTGCCACCTCATAACTTCTGCTGTGCTTAAGCCCAGTGGTCCTAGTCCATGTGCTGATCCACTTGTTGAATGTATTCCCATATCCTTTCCAGACTTTCTACTTTTCCAAGGACAGGTCCCTCCTGATAACATGTTTAAAGTATGTGAGACGAGGTCACACCATTCCTGCTCGTTCTGAGGACACAGTAATCTGTAAACTCAACAAATTGATTTTTTTCTGCCTGGTTAAGCTGGATTTGTAGTAGTCATTCATTCCTATCTTCTTTCTTCTTTTCCTCCTCCCAACTCTGATATATATTTTCTCTGGATGCTCTGAACAACCATGCAAATAAACTTGTTTTTCTTAATGTTTGTCCAAGTCCACTGACATGAAACTTAAGATTGCCTCATCCCAGAGCTGCCTTACCAGAGATTTGAATCTTGTTTGTTTACAGAGAAGATGACAGGTTTGAAAGCACTGGTCGGCATTGCTCTGAGATAGGTAAACGGAGGAGGCTGCTGCTTTCTGGCAATTCATGGCCTACTTCCAAGGCCCCAGGACCTGCTCAGAGCAGAAAGTGAGGTTCAAGTTTGTCACAAGGCAATGTGAGCCAGATTCAAAATAGGAAAGAGCCTTTGTCTCCAATCACACCACTCCAACTGCTTAAAATGGACCAAATAACAGAAGGCACTTTGCAAGCCTGTAATAGCTATTCGATAGCATACTATGCTTCCTCTCCTCAAGAGACCTTTGGAGGGGGGTTCTTTGAAAGTAAGTGAGCATAACCTTATTGAGTAGGAAGCAACTTAAGCCTATTCAGAGATTTCCCTTTCTGTATTCAAATCTTTTGCTTCAGGCTGGCCAGAGGGCCACTTCTCTGGCCCTCACATTCCTGAGCTATTACGTTTGCTTCCACTCTTCCCAGGATGAGATGGGATAAAGTGGATCCTGTAATCGGCCCACCTCAAGAGATGAACAGGCCACCTCAGTTTTTCTCCTAACCTCTGCTACTCTGAATGTTCCTTCTGTAAGACTGAATGGACTCTGACCTCTGGTGGCCCTGAACCTGCCTGTAACTTAATCCCAGCAGGGAACGAGTGGTTGAGGGCTGCCTCTTCTTCCTGAAACTAAATGGGATGCCCTGGCCTTACATATTTTAAGTGGATCCCAATTAGACTTGCATTCTGCCTTGCAAAGGGAACTAGCTCAGCTGGTCCATGTCAGGGGTAGTGGCACACCACACATATCTTCCCATGCACTCAACCTAAGGCTCTGCCAGGTGACTGAGGGTGAAGGAGGGAGACTGGTGTCAGAGCACATGATGCTGTTATCTTCAGAAGGCAAGGAGGCGAAGTGACAAAGGAAGACAGAGGGTAAGAAGTACATGTCATGCTGAAAAGGAAGACATTGTCTTGTTACAAGTTTCTGTATGGAATAAGCCCAAATTCTCATGGAGGCTGATGTGCAGAGAAAGGACACCCACATGCACTCTCTGGGGCCACCAGACCGCTCACTGTCACAGCTTTGCCTACTTTCCCTCTCTGAAGAGACGACCCTCTTGTGTGCCAGGGAGTCAAGGACAATCTAAACTGTGTCCAAACTGTTTGACACAACTACCCTTCCCACATATTTCAAACCTACATATGAAGCAGAACATGTCCCAGATTGCTCTCTTGTATCTGTTTTAATTTACCACCCTCTGTGTGATGGGAGAGCCCCACAGGAAAGCTGCAGTGTGGCAACTGGAGTGTCCTTTCACTGACTCCAGCCCTTAAGCTCACAGTCCAGGAGGCTTAAGATAGTTGCCAGAAGATTAGGGAGAAAAATGGGAAAGGCCCAGCTTCAAAGCCAGAATCTATTTTGCTGAAAATATATGTGTGCCTTCAAAAGACTGTGCTTCCCAACAGACACTTACACTGTTCACAACAACGTAAACAAGAACAGGAGGTAATGGCTTCACTTGGTAGAAAACTAGCAGCATCATTTAGGACCCTGGGGCCTTCCCCAGGAGTGGTCAGCAGACAGCCTGTCCCAAGCCGGCTGAGGGGGAGCCCGGCCAGCCCCACTACAACTCATCCATCATGGCGAGCAAGTCATCTCCTTTGTTGGTGCTCTGTCGTGGCTGCTCTGTGATCTCAAACTCCCCCATGATCCGAGTCAGCTCTTCTCTCCTTTGCTGGTCCTGTTAGAGAAACGAGAGGTGAAAGGGAAGGAGGAGGCTGTGTGGGCAGATTGCCTCTTTGTGCAGAAGGTAATATATGTTCCATCACTGAAATACATTTCAGAGCCTCAATTGTTTGGCAGGTAAGTATAGTTACATGCAGTGTAGGTTAGAGTGTAAGTTGGAGGAGGAGGACCAAGATTTGGCAGTGGGAAATCCCTCGCATGTACCTGGGTAGCTTGTATGTTGATAACTTCATAGGATAACTCTTCTGGCCTGGTTAAAGCTGCTTGTCTGGGTGAGATGGTAAAGAAAAGGATCACAGGTTAGGCAAGGCTTTCTCCCTGCTAGCCTGACAAACCAGCTCTTGCTAATGAATGAAACAATTTCTTTAAATATTTTGCCTTATCTTTTGCCATCTCCCTTTAACTTTTCACTCCATTCCCAACTAATGCACCTTAAACTCTGGAAAGCCAAATTCTCCGGTATCTCTGTGCCTTTGTACACACTGAACTCTGCCAAGAAAGCTTTCCCCCTTTCTCTGCTTGGCAAACTTTAAGACAGAGCTCAATGCAAATTCTAATCTGTCTATGCAAATCCAGGCAATGCCTTCACTTAGGGTATCTGTGATTCTAACTGAAATAAGAGATTCTAACTGAAATAAGACAGGTATATGTTTATTCTTCCACTAAGCTGGGGGTTTTCTGAAGACAAGGTCTAGGTGTTACACTCCATCTTTGTATTCCTACGATTTACCATGATACATAAAAACCTATTTTGTGGGGAGCTCTGGTGGCCTAATGGCAAGAAGCTGCACTGCAATCCCAGAGATATGTGGTTCAAATCCACCAGATGCTCAGCCGGAGAAGGAGGGGCCCAGTCAGATCCAATTTGATGGTACACACACACATAAAACAACAAAAAAAATTAAAAACCCCTATTTTGTTTCATAATCAGGGAAAAAGAAGGTAACCTCAACTCCAAATATTTGGTTGTATTGAAAATCACATGAGATAATGAATTCAGAAATGCTGTGTAATCACAAAGCACTTATGTATCTTCTAGTTTTGGATATGATATGGTTAATTGTTCAGCTATTAACCAAAAGGTTGGCATTTCAAATCTCAGAAATGTACCTCCTTGGTGAGTTCTGGTGGCCTAATGGCAAGAAGCTGCACTGCAATCCCAGATGTGCGTGGTTCAAATCCACAATCTCCTCCTGTACCAGTCAGATCTTATTTGATGGTACGTACACACACACACACACACACACACACACACACACACACACATTTTTTTTTAAAAAAAAAAGTACCTCCAAAAGATCACAGCCACTGAAAACCACAGTTCTTCTCTGAAACCTGTGGGATCAACTCAGTAGCAACTGGTTTAGTTTAGTTCTGGTCTAATCAAGATCTGACTTCCCTCTGGTTTCGAGTACCCTTATTTTTTTGAGAGTTAAATAGTAAAGATAGACTTATTAGAAAGTTATGTCCTTAAAGGGACAGACCTCCCTCCTTGAAAGGAAATATGGAGAAGAGAGGCCCAAACTTTTCTTAATATGCTTGGTTCCCAACACCTGTTTAGATCTGCTCTGTTACGTAAAAAAAGTTAGAACTCTTCTGTGACTGTGAATAAGTCTTACAGTTTCCAGCAATTTAATGCTGGCTAACTATCCTTTAACCAACTATATTATTAAATTTGCTGGTATTTAATTTATGTCTTTTACATCTGCACTTCTAAGAGTCACTGAAGGTCATATTTTGATTTTCAGATATATCTTTTTTTAAAACAACAAGTTTAAAACCTACTCCTCTTCTTCATCAGTAGTAAAGAGATTCAGACGGAATCCTGGCTCAGGGCCACTGGGGTTCTTACACTCCATTCCTCCCATCAGCCGGGCCAAGAAGTTCAGCTCTTCTTTAGCAAGAGGGTTGGGAGTAATACTTTCCTACAGAAACAATTTGATTACTTTTAGCCACATGAAGGAGATTACATTTCCACCCAAGACCCTGGAGACCCAGGGCAGTATTACAAAACAAAGTAAAACAATTACTGTTCAAATTATTTCTGGGAAGAAAGGGATCCAAATAAAGCAGAATAGGCTTAATCAAAAGAAAAACAACCCGTATACTACTAAGCAGAGAGACAACAAACCAGAGACTTTCATACTTCCAAGATGACTAGAAGGCCTTAGGGATGCACATTTCTTCTCAAATGACCGACCTCCTTGGAGGAGGAGAACAAGGCTGCTTCTTCAGAGTCAATCCAGTTTACTTCCTCTGTGTAGATGGGCTGTTGTTATATGCTGTCACATCTACTACAATTCACAATGACCCTGTCAACGATGACTCTGAATCTTGTACTATCCTAAGCCAACTTGTTTCTGACACACCTGCCCCTATTGCCACAGTCACTGTGTCAATACATCTGATCCAGGATCATCTTCTCTTGCACTGACCCTCTATCCTTCCAAGCATGATGTCCTTTTCCAAGGACCAGTGCCTCTTAACAACATGCCCAAAATATGTGAGATGGAATCTCAAAATCCTAGCCTCCAAGAAGCAACTTGGTTTCACCCTCTCTAGGATACACTGTTCTCTTGGCAGTCCATGTGCAAGACTCTTATCCAACACAGCAATGCAAAGGCTTTGATTCTTCTTCTGTTATAATTTTTCACTGTTCATCTCTTAGATGCATAGCAAACAATTGCCCTGTATCAGGCACACTTTAGACTGACACTGGTGCTATTTAGCACTCTGGAAAGGTCCTTAACAGCAGCTTATCCCAATGCAACTTGTCTTTTGATTTCCTGATTTTTGAATCCCAGAGTGTTGATTCTGGATCTGCGCAAGATGACATTGTTAACAACCTCATTCTTTTCTCTACCTGTCAAGATATTGCCTGTTGGTTGTAGCTTTGTTTTCTTGATGTTGAGATGTCACTCATATTGAAGACTACAGTCCTTGACCTTCTGCAGCAAATATTTCAAGTCCTCCTCAGTTATGGTGAGAAAGGTTGTTTTACCTGCATAATGCAGGCTGTTTGAGTCTTCTTCTAATCCTGATGCCATATTCTTCTATATAAATAAAATCTAGACTTCTAAATAATCTTTTCCACAAAGAGACTGAAAAGATATGGAGAAAGGAGACATCCCTGACACATTCCTTTCTTTATTTCGAACCATGCAGTGTTCCATTGTTCTGTTAGGACAACAGCTTCCTGGTCTAGGTATAGGTTTTATACAAGCACAATTAAGTGTTTCGGGATTATCATTCTTCTTCTTCTTTTTTAAATTTAGGTTGTGTATTTTTAATTTCAATGAACATCTACAGAGATTTTGGGATTCCATTCATTCATTGTTGCACCCTTCTCCCCACACAAACCCCTCCCTCCTCCCCCCCATTTGCTCCTCTCCTTGAAAAGCAAAAGAAAAACTCCCTCATTGGTACACAATCCCGCCCCCCCCGCACCTCCCCAAAC